AATAAAGCTACTATAAATATTTGCATACAGGTGTTTTTGCACATGTATGTTTTTATTTCTCATGGACAAATACCTAGAAGTTGGTATTGCTGGGTTATACAGTAAATGTATGTTTTACCTTTATAAGAAACTGCCAAAATGTTTTCCAAGTGGCTATACCATTATGTGTTCCTATCAGCAATGATGACATTGTCCTGCATCCTTGTCAGCACTTGGTATTGTCAGTTTTTCTAAATTTTAGCCATTGTAACGATATCTCATTGTGATTTTAATTTGCATTTCCCTAAATGACTAATGCTGAGTATCTTTTCATGTGCTTATCTGCCATCCATTTCTTCTTTGGCAAATGTCTGCCCAAATCTTTTGCCCATTTTTAAAAAACTGAGTTTGATTTGTAAAAGGAGTTCTTTACATGTTCTAGGGACTAATCCTTTATCAAATGTGTGCTGACAGCTTCTTTTTTCGAGGAATTTGAAATCATAAGAACCTAAATCATACCATTTTTCTTCCAAATCACTATCACCTGCACGTACAAGCTGATGAAGGGAATAGAAAAGACTTAAACTTTCAATTTATAAATACCTTAGTGCCACTGGATGGAGGGTCAAGCAATACTTGCTACCTGCAAAAACTCATAAGATTATTTTTACCTCAACTATAAGCACCAAACCAACATTAGGCCTGAAGGAAAGCTACATCTGGAGAAATGGCTGTCCTTATAAACAGCTTTTGGCCCCCCAGGCTCTGCACCTCCCAAAGCCCTGTTCTGGTCTGCCAGGCTCCTGGAATGGTCAACAGTCGTCACACTCCATTGCCAGCATTGTCCACTGGGAAAGGTAGGAGGCTCCTAATCCATCCCTCAGTGAAAGAGCAAACAGTGGGGCCTGTGGCTGCTTGGACATCAAAGTTGAGCAAACAGGCCTGGCAGGCCCTGCCTCTCCGCCTACACATCCTGCAAATGCCATCTGAAGGAGCTTCCCCGAGGGGGTCATGACTTTCAGCTTGTCACAGCACACATCAAAGTTTGCACCACACACGAACTGGGTGCATGGGTTCGAATCAAGTCACCCAAGAGCGGATACTCAGGCATTGTGTCCAGTTTTAAGCCTGTGTTTTCCCAAGTAATTAAGCCTTCTTGCTTATGAACTTGTGACTAAGTAAAGCATCACTGAGAGGTTGTAACATCAAAGTGCCTTCCACCGTCTGTCCATGTTTGGTAAAATTGGATTTCTTTCCCTTCTTAAAGAAAAACTAATTGAATTTAGCTGAAGGCTGGGTATATTTGCACGAGCTGGTGAGGGCTAGGCTAAGTCACAGTGATCATTCTGGGACCCTGTGGCTTAGCCTTTAGCTGGGTTGGGTCAGAGTTCAACCCAGAAGGAGGTGCCCAGACTTGGGCTGAACAAGTGCCTGTGGCAGGAGGCTTATGGAGGGCTACGTGTGGAGAAGGGGCCAGCCCCAGGGACTGCTCCTTGAGTCAACACGACACCCAAGCTGTTACTAGGGCTGGCAAAAGGATCGTCCTAGTAGAATGTTGGTAAATCTTGGACAGAACGGCCAATGGAGACAATGGCCATCACATTACTCAAGTCCTTGATGTCAGCAGTCTGAGTAAGCTTCTTAAGGCAAAGGCTGTGACTGCTTATTCTCTGAATCCCCCTGTAGCCTAGGACATCAGCACCCACACAGCATAGTTTTAAAAAATGTTTGCTTTATGCATAAAATGATACTATAAAGGGATGTAAGAATGAAGTTCTTCTCTCCTGAAGAACCAAATTCTCTGTATCCCTTTTTGGCTGTGTTTATCAGGAAACTTCAACCTACTCGATTCCACTAATTACCTGATTTATAATAAGTATAGCATGGTCCCATTTATGTAAAATTAGACACACGCATATATATAGAGAGAGAGAGAGAGAGAGAGAGATACACACACACGATCACTCTCTAGATAGAGGGACTTCAGGTGACTGCTGTTTTCTTCTCTATATTATTTTTACAAAAACAATAAACCTATTTTCGGAAAAGAAAATCTCTGGTTCAATCCTGATAAAATTATCTTTCCTTTTACCAATGTGATTTCTGATCTTGATCCAGTTTTAACTCTCCTGTGTACATCTATGGTTGTATTTTAATTTAAGTCACCTTTTTGGAAATAAAAGGAGGGAATAAATTATAAATTAAGTTCCCGTGCATACTTTTAAAATTTTGTTCTATAGCGCTGTAGTTTCTATTCAAAATTAAATAAAATAGTACTGTCTTTACTATTCAAAATTAAATAATACCTACATACATAAATGAAAGCTTATGAGAAGTTAATCTCCTTAAGGAGAGAGACTATTGTGTTCCATATCCCCTAAGGACTTAACACAAGAAGCAGCGCTCGCCAGAGGCAGTTGAGGGTGAAAGGACTGGGCTGCTCTCAGGATCTCCCTCGAGCCTGTGGACTGCCAACACGCCAAAGGAAGTGAAAGTGCTCTGCTCTCCGCCTGAATCAAGGGGTGCTGCCCCTGCCTTCCACTTCATCCAAACCCAGTTCAAAGGTGGCGGCATTTCAGGCCTGGCCAATATGATTCCAGAAGGGTTTGGTGATTGACAAGATGAGAATCAGTACACTTCTAATACGGAGAACATTATTGGCAGATTGTGCTGGTTGGACGTGATAATCCTTCAAGACTCCCAGGGCACCTCACGGACGAGGCTCGCTGACCCTGGACAACGTTCTCCTGGCCTCCCTTTTACCAGATTCTACTTTTCCTTTGTTCCACTGCACTCCTTACCTTCTAATACATTATGTAGTTTACTTATGCATTATAGTTATTGTTCATTGTCTGCTCCTGCCTCTCTCTCCCCAGGGACCACCACCACCATAGAAATAAGCTCTACGAGGGCAGGAATCTTTGTCTGCCTAGAACAAAAAATTGTGATATGAATAAATAAATCCAACCTGAAAGTGTGCTATTTAACACAGAATAAAAATCTGTCCTCCCTGGGTGCTGGAAGGAAGAGGAGGGCACAAAACGGACACTTAAAAAACCAATCATTAGTCCTAAGAACCAAAGCAAGTAAATATAAGCCAACACTCTCACTTTGCTCAGCGAGCATCACTGATTTGCTAATGGCCATGGATGAAGACAGAGCCATCAGTTACACCGACAACTATTAGATTCAGATGGAAGTGTCCCCAAAGCACACCTACTAGCTATTTGCTCACTGACTGACAGTACTCTCTTAAGTATAGTGTTGTTTCCTATTCAGTCTCAACACTGAAAATATTACACATAGAAGGGCACACACCTCCTCCCTTCTCTCCACCACTGGTTATCTCTTGCCGATGGAGATATGTGCAAGCTGGGAAAGAAGACTGGTGGGTGTGATGGAGGTGGTATGGGGTAGAGGCGGTCGTGGGTGGAGTATCAGTAGTACGGAATAAACACGTGTGTTTGTGTGTAGAGCGGTCTAATGACAGCAGCAAAGAATCGCAACTCACCACTTACAACATGTAGCACATACACTACCTTATTGGAGTCTCACAAGAACACAGCAAGAATCTACTCTGCTGCCAGATTCAGTCCCCTGACACCCTCTGCTTTGATAATAACCTGTCCAAACAGCTCTGACATCACTGATTATACTATACTCTGTTGTCTCCACCCGCCTTTCTTTTCCTCATTAGATCATGAGCTCCCAAGGTCTCTGATTCCCCAATGATTAGCACAGACCCTGGCTCAGAGGAGATATTTACCAAACTTTTTATAGAAATAATTGATTTCAGGTGAAGTAACAAGGTGTCCACAGAATTCTGAAATTCAATTAAGAGTCAGAACAAAGACTGGATTCCAGGTCTCTCAACTGCAAAGCCTATTTATATCAATTTTTCTTTTAAAGACTAAGTGCTTGGAGTTAAAGAGGCAAATAAGGAAACAGAGTATGAAACCAAGTTCACGATAGAGGAGCAGAAAAGAGAGACTATCTCTCAGCCAAGTCTTTCAATCAGTCTGAGGCGGAGCCACCCCTGTATTATAAAATCCATGTTTTGTTGGTTTCCACCACATTTATGACCTTTCCAAAGGTGGCCAGTACTGGCAGGGTAAAGCCTTAAAGATCTGTTTGAAGTGAAAATTACAATTGGTACTTCCAACTATCAATTTCAGTGGCTGCTACTAAAGTACCCAGTCTGCTTTCTTTGAAAGTATCTCTTTTTGCTCTTTTTTAATCAATTATTTTGCACAGTCACAGCTAGAGACTGGGATGGAAAGGCAGCATCCAGCACTAGCCTGGGATCTGGCAGAAGGAGGCAGGAGTGAGACAGGGTAAAACAAACAACCTTTGCAGGCAGCCAGACTAGGTTCAAAATCCTGTCTGTGTGACCTTAGACAAATCACTTTTCTCTCTCTGGGCTTCAATTTTTTCTGCTGCAAAATAAGATAATAATACATATTTTGCTGCTGGTTGAGAGAATTAGAGATAACTCAACACAAAGACTATTTTGATCTTTACACAACAGCTACACCGTAAGGGAATGGGGGAGTGGGTAGGAAACAGCAGGGCCTCCAAGGGGAGGGAAGGAACATCCTCGCCTTCTCTAGCTTCCATCAGAACCTCCAAAGAAACAGCCCAGTGGAGCCCTTGTAGGGGACAGTGACTGCAGACTTCTCAACACGAAGAGATGGTGGATAACAAAGACATCATGAAAACCACACATGTATACTTAACCACTTATGACAGGCTTTCAAACATTTCATTGCGTGGATAATGCAAATGACTTGCCTAAGGTCACAAAGCCAACGAATGATGCAGCTGCAACCCAGAGCTACATCTTCCCTCTCCATAGCTCCTATACTTTCCATTGCACCAGATGTAGACCGTACTTTAGACTGAGTCCATCTTCCTGCCTCTGGAGAAGACAGCAGCGGGGAGGGCAAGGGTGGGAGAGGATTCAGGAATGTGGTCTGCAGAGATCTGGCTAAGGGAGCCCTGTGTGGAAGGAGATCTCTTACCTGTCGTTTCGGCTGATGGCTGCCACCATGAGTGCTGTCCAGCCAAGTCTGTGCCTTGCATTGACATCTGCACCTTCTGACAATAGCCTAGAAAGAGACAAAAGACTATTCTCAATGTACGGCTTATCATTACACGTAAGGGGAGAAGAAATGAGACAGTCAATCCACAGGGAGGCTGGATAAGTTTGGAAATAGAGGCCTTTGAGAACTAAATACCCATCCCAGCTCCTCTCGCCACTCTCCCCAGACCCTAAGCTTCCCCTACCTCTCTCCCTTTTCCCTTAAATGAGTCTGCCCCCTGCTGTTATCCTCCCAGACTCTGAGGAAAGAATGTGGTTGCCCTACCTTAATACCCTGACACTCCCACTCCCTTGATCCAGAATGCTTTCTCTCTGCCTCTTTGCTTATTCTAATCCTATTCTCAGGCTATGAGATACAATCCTAGCTTGAGGACTCCCTCGTGAGAAGGCTTCCTTGACTTAGGCAGTCCACAGATCTCTCTCCCTTCCTTAGAATTAGCAGTGAATGCCCAGTCACACTTCTTATCTAGATAGTTCCCAGTTTACAAAAGGCTCATACTCCTCAAGTTTATCTGTATGGTGGCTGTTTGGAATCTGGAAATCTTTGAACCCAAAGATGGAAAGAATGTTAGAAATGCTAGATTATGTTTCTAGGAGAGTCTACATGAGACTATTTGACTCTAAATGCCAGTGCCTAGCATAGTAGGAGCTCATAGTTGTTGGATAAATTAACAAACACAGGGTTTTAAGTATACCACTAAAAGCCTGACTTCTGGGTCCCGGGAACAGGGGGCCTAAATGTGGGTATGGTGAGAGAGAACCCACCCTTACGGAGTGCCTACTACAAGCAGGAAGTGCCCTCGGAACTTCATGTGCATGCTCTCAGTTACTCTTCACACAAACTTAAGGAGCTGACATTAGCCTCCTCTTTTCATGGATGAGGTAACAGGCTCAGTGAGGGGAAATGACTCACTGAAGGTCACAAAGGTAGATAAGGGGCAAAACGGTGACTGGAACCCAGATGGATAACGGCTGTACAGCCTGAATCCTTCTCACCTCACCACCCTTCCTCTAGACTGAACCTGGCTCCACATAACATAGAAGACAAAAGACTCAACTGACTTCAGCAAATCAATATGATATATGCATGCCCTCTGCTACATTCTGGCATGGGGGTGAGGAGAAGACATGGGTCTACCCCAGAGAAGGACACAATTCAGTTGTGGAGGGAGGACTCAAGACAGTAGGAAATCAAAGCCTGTGGTGTGTGGTTTCCCACCAGAAGTGCTGCAGGAGGCCAAGAAAGGGGGAGCCCGAAAGTCGGGGTGATTCACCAACAAGGCGTGACCTGCTTATAAGGAATGCGTGGAGAGTGTCTGGGCAAACTGGGAGCCTGTCTACTCTTCCGTGTATTCTAGCCAGAAAGGATACTGGCAGAGAATCCAGAAGCTTAGGTTTGAGTCTTAACAACATGCTCGTGCCACAATCTGTAGTAAATGCTCCTCTGGACCACGCCAAATAAAACCTCTGCACTATTGAAGTAAGCAGGTGACTAAGGCTGAGTAGGATGAGAAGCCATATCATGGGCTGTGCTGATGCAGTGGACGAGACAAGTACTGTTAAAGTCCGAGAGGGGACAGACCAGCAAACACATAACTACACATCGGACGAGACCTATGAATGGGGACTGCAGGTTGCAGGTGTACCATCAGGGAACCTAACCCAGTTTTAGCCGCCCAGAGGGCTCCCTGAGGAGGTGATGACAAGGAGTTAGCCAGACTGAAGGGGGAGGAGTGTTCCAGGCAGAGGTAAAGCGTTTCATCCAGAGGAGAAGGCAGCATGGGGCACATGAAGCCCTGAAAGGCTTTGGCATAACTGGGGCAAAAATGTGTGGGGAGAGTGTTGAGAGAGGAGGTTGGGAAATCCTCATCTCTCACCTCTAGTTTGGAGGATTTCTTCTGGTGAAAAGTCCTGGGCGTCTTACCACATACACTTTCAGGCACAAACAATTTTCTATGGCCAAGAATGTTAAAGAGGCTAAGAACCCTGGGGATGAATTTTTCTGTGAGATAAAAATCTTTTTGCACAAAACCTCCCTCCAAATTTACAAACCCGCCCTCATTTAGCACACCAAGTGGTGCAGTGGAGAGATCATGATTCTGAGAGTTAAGAGAGCAGAGTTCTGATCCTAACTGTGATTCTGATCGGATGGCTTCGCTTCTCTGGTCCTCAGTCCAGAAGACTAGAAAATCAGGATGGGCCGAAGCAAATCCCAGAGGTTTCTGAGGGAAAAGACTTGAACTGTGCCTTGAAGAACAGCAACAGTTTAGAGATGAGAGAGGAAGTGCCCGCCAGTCAAGCCAAAAGGCACAGGATACTATTCAGAAGTGGGGAAGGAATGGCAAGGTATATTCAGAGACCATGAAGTAGATCCATCTGGGTGACGGCTCACAGCAGAGAAACAGTTGCCAAGGTAGGCAGGGCCTGCAACAGGGCCTCAAAAGCCAGGCCAGGAGGCCAAGGCAGTGGGCATAAACCAGTTTTGAGCCATGAACTCCTTTGAGAAGATGATCAAAGCCAATGACTCTCTCCAGAAAAGTGCATACGAGTGCACATACTCAAAAAAATTTTTTTTATATACAATGTCCAGAGTTTCCATGTTCACAGGTCCCCATGAATGCAAGAGTGTATCGTAGGTTAAAAACTCAATCTAAAGGCTTGACAAATGCCTGGAACGTGTGCTTCCATCTTGCACTCCTGCATCTAAGGCAGAAATCACGAATCTCTCCCAGCATCTCTTTCCTGTGGAGACCTTGTAAGAGCCTCAGAATCCTCCTCTAACACTGGTTCCAGTCAGCCAGCATAGATCAACTGAAGCTGGCAACAGAGAGGAAACCTTTTTACCATTCCTTAGACTCTCACCATAGGCAGAGGGGTTGTCACTGAAGGTTTTTGGGCAAAAGAAGTTACAAAATTAACCTAATAGTTTAAGGAGGCTGAACTTGAAAGAGGAGAGAGTAGAAAATGAGGACAAGGAGACCAGTTTGCAGATTGCTGTAAGACAGACCACAGGCGATGAGCCAGGGCAGGGGAAGGAGAAAGCAGGGCGTGGCTGGGAGGAACCGGGGACAGCCAGAATCCCTCATGCCTTCAGTGGATCAGTGACCCGTGTTCCCCTGCCTGGGCCCTGAGAATTCTGGAAGCGGCACTGCTCTGGAGGTAGGGCTGAAGACAGAAGATTGAGATGCCTCCTCTTCCTGCCGCTTGAGGGCTGAGGGTAGCATAATAAAGAGAAAAGGATGAATAACGGGCTTTGGAGTAAGTTAGACCTGTATTCAAATTCTGGTTCAGCTAGCTAACTCTGAGCAAATCAATTCTCTGAGTCTTGGTTTTCTCACCTATCAAATTGGGATGATAGTTGCTAATCTGTATGGATGTCAGCCCAGTGCCTGGCATGTAGCAGGGATTCCATACAGAGTGGTTTCTGCCTGCCACAGGTTGGCCAGTACCCAGAGACTCTACGACAGGGTCACACAGAAAGACCTGGGTGATTCAGCCGGGCTGGCTCCAGCCACTTTTTTCATTTATTCAACAAACAGTGCACACACCCATTCTGTGTCCAGCTGCATGCTGGCTACTGATGAGGAGACAAGACGGAGGTCCTTGCTTTCCAGGGCCTGACCCAAGCAGGATTTTTCTTTCTGTTTCTTTATATATAAGTGTGTACATATTTCCGTTCATTACTTTTTTTCGCAAATAACTGTTTTAAGCTATGCTAAGTATACAATAATTCCATTGTTTTTTAATTGCTGCATAATTCTCTATGGCACATCCACCACATTTTTCCTTTTTGCTTTCCCAGGGATACCCACTCAGGAGCCTCCCTCTGCCAGCCACCGAAAGCAATGCTCAGAGAACATCCTCTCACACGTCCCCTTTCAGACCTGTATGTGTATCTCCCTGGGTCACAGAGTTTGCACGTATTTGATTTGACTAAATAGTGCCAGGGTCCTCTCCAGGATAGCTGTGCCATCTACTCTCCTAACAGCAGGACGGGGCTGTTCCTGTGTACCCCTCTCCCTGCCAGCACTTGGCAGTACCAAGTTTCCTAATCACTGCCAGTCCAACAGGTGTGAAGGGATACCACACTACTGTTTTGATTTGCATGCCTCTGATTGCCAACAATTTTGAGCCACTTGTGATATGGGTGTTAACATTTTGGGGTTTCCTTTTTTGTACACTGCAGGGTTTTCTTTTAAGAGGAGGGACTTCTGGGAGAGGGGGCTTCTCCAAACTTGCTATCCTTTCAATAAATAGAGTAGAAAGAGCATAGGGCAGAGCCAGGAGCCCTGGGTTCTAGTTCCACTTCTGCCACCTCCTACTCTAACACCCTCGGGAAGGCATATCATCGCTGTAAGCTTCAGTCTCCTCACAGGTCCACTGGGATCATAACCCCTGCCAGCTTTACAGGGGTTGTAGGAGGCGACCCCGCAATCTGAAGGAAAGAGTTCTACAAACCTGAGGGGTCACTCCTGGGAGGCAAATCTTAGTGTTCTTCAGCGAGACTGCAGCTTTTCAGCCCTGGCCAGCTTCCTGACTGAGCATCATTCTTTGCAGCCTCTTGGGGCTCAGGTGTAATGGAAAAAGCAATGACCCTGGAATCCAAAGGCTGGAGTTCAGATTCTGGCTCTGTCACTTACTAGCTGTAAAATGGGGGATATTGATCCCTATTGTGCAAGGTAATTGTAAGGATTCAAAGAGATACCACATAGTAGAACTCCCTAAGGAGTGGTGACACCTGGTAAATCAAGGAAGGGCCAGAACAAACACTGACACCACCCCAAGGGAATCTAACCACAAACAGCTTTTCCTCTTTCAGCGCCGGCTGGGCTCCTCCCCCTTTCCCCTCTGCAGAGCAGCCCCAAAAGTTAGGATTTTACCAACCCAGGTCTCCTCTACTTCATTTTGTTGCTTTGCAAGTGAATGCCCAGCGGGCAGTCATTTCAAAGTCCTGGGCCAGCTGGGCGGGTGGCTGCCTGCTGAGAGTGGCTGAAAGGGCCTCTGAGG